CAACTTCTTTGAAGTCTGAAATTATTTCAAAATGAAGTTTTAAAAAATTAGGAAGCAAAGAAGGAGGGAAGGGCAGCAGGGATGGAAAGGAAATTTGCCTTCTCTTCTATTTCTGTCTTTAAAAGAAGCTGTGTTAATCTTCTCTGTGCTATTTAGTTGATTTCATTCATTTACATCACTTGTTCTTGTCAGTAAAATCATATATTCAGAGGAAAAATTAACTTATCACAAATGTTTAAGACTGACTAATAAACATATTACAAAATATTTTACAGGGAAATTTTGGTGACAAGTGTGATTAACCTAACTTATTAGTAGTGAAAAGATTTAGGGAATCTGGACAAGCTTAAACTAAATCCATGCTAGGATGAAAGAGGAACAAAGTTTACTAGTAGCTCCTTCCATGTTTTGTTTTGTTTTGTTTTTTTTAAGTCAGAATCTTGTGGTGCTGCATCTGTTCTCTAGTGGAAAATTGCCCCTGGGAAACTACAAAAGTTCATCAAAGGCAGAGGGTCAGAATCCTCTGACTGCTTTGGTGAGACACTGGTCATATTGTTATGTATCCCATAAATCACAAATAATAATATCCTGAGGCATTCTCTTCTGTATTAAAAGATAAGAACTCTGTTTTTGTTTCCAGAACCATTGCTCTCTTTTCCTGCTTCACACAGCTCATGTAATTCAGAAAATAGACTTCATTCAAAGAATGAAAAATAGGTGAGTCTGAACCCCAGTGCCTCTCTCCATCAGTTCCACAAGCTGCCAAATGTTATCTGCCTTGTAAGTAGCTTGGCTCTTCTCTAAAAAGATGAATTTCTTTTCTAAAACAGGCTTGTACTTAGGGTTTCACCACCAACAGTGCTAGCACCACCCTGAGAAAAGTGTGTATTGACATAAGAAGCCCAAATATGGACTTTAAAGAGTGCAGACAGAACTCATCTTTGTAAAAAAAGGACACATAGCATGTGTAAAGAATGGGCCTTAGCAATAAAATATTAAGGAGACATTCCCCATGAATCCTGGGAAATGGAGAGGCAGGCAGAACTCCAAAGTCATCATTAAACTAGAAATGGCTCCAGAGGCTTCACGCAGGCACCGTTCTCCTAGACTAAGCCCTTATGCTGTGTGTGAGCCATAGATCTGAAGGTTCATTCAGCATCACCAGGGAGATGGTTGGAAATATGTTTCAGTCCCCCAGGCTAGCAAGACCCCCAGCACATGCATATATATATTACTGGAGTTTGGCAAACACTGAACTACTGGAAATAATGCAACAGCCAGCCTGATCCCAGGAAAAGTAGGAAGGAAAATGTACTCATGAAAACACTGTTCCACAGCAAACAGAACCTCAGAAGAGCTCTATTCTACTTTGAAATATCCTCAGACTGGCACTCAAAACTCCACTATTTCATCCACACAACCCACCAATTCTTCCAACCCTTCCCTGGGTTTTTTTCCAGGGTCAGCATTCACCTTAAGTAAAGAGCCAAGGCTTAGCTACCTATGGCCTGGCAACTCAAAAAGGTGTCTGGGTGCAAATAAAACTAGAACTATGACATAACCCAACAATCCCACCACCGGATGTTTATCCTGAGAAAACAAATCAGTATACCAAAGAAACATACATACTCCCGCATTTACTGCAGCGCTGTTCTCAATAGTCAGGTTACAGGATCAATCTAAATATCCATTAATGGATGAATGGACAAATAAAACATGGGAGATAGATAGATAGATGGATAGAATTGAATATTCAGCCTTAAAAGAAAGAAATCCTGTTATTTGCAACAGCATAAATGAACTCAGAGGACACAGAAAGGCAACTATCACACGAATTCATTTACATTTGGAATTTTTTAAAGGTGAACTCAAGGAAGTGGAGAGCTGATTGGTGGAGACCAGGGATCAGGGGAAACTGAGCTTCTGGTTTACTGGTCAAATAATATAAAATTTCATTTAGACTGATTCCATACCTTAACCATTGTGAATAGTGTTGCAGTAAAGAGATAAGTGCAGATAGCTCTCTAATATGCTGATTTCAGTTGCCTTAGTTATATGCTCAGTAGTGCAATCACTGAATCATACGCTAGCCCTATTTCTGTTGTTTGGGGAACCTCCATTCTATCTTCCATAATTTCCACTCCCATCAACAGCACAGAACAGTTCCCTTTTCTCTCACCAGATTTTACTATTTTTCTTGTCTTTTTGTTAATAACATTCTAATTAAGGGTGAAATATTATCGCATTGGGGTCTTGATTTGCATTTTCCTAAGGATTACTAAAAAAATGCTGAGCATTTTTTTTCTATGTTGATTTACGTATCTTCTTTTGAGAATCCTCTGTTCAAGTCATTTGCCTGCTTATTAATCAAGTTATTTGTTGTGGATGGTGGTGATTCTTGCTCTTGGATTGAGTTCTTTATATATTCTGGAAATGGATCCCTTATTAAATGCATAGTTTACAAATATTTTCTCCCATTATGTTGGTTGTCTTTCCACTCTGTTGCTTCCTCTGCAGTACAAAAGCTTTTTAGTTTTGCTGCCTTGTTGAAAATCAGTTGGCTGTAAACATGTGGGTATATTTCAAGGTTCTCTATCTGTTCCCACTCTCCATGCATGAGTTGTTATACCAGAACTGTGTTGTTTCAAAGACTATGGCTTTATAGTATGTTTGATTCAGATACTATCTCTAATTTTGGTCTTTTCACAAAGGATTGCTTGCACTATTCAAGATGTTGTTATTATTGTTGTTGTTGCTATTGGGTTTTTTGTGGTTCATGTATTATATTCTTGAAAATTAATAGGATAATTATTTTTTTTGAGGCAGGGTCTTGCTTTGTAGCCCAGGCTGGCCTCAATCCTCCTCGTTGTAATTCTCCTGCCTCAGCCTCCTGAGTGCTGGGATTACAGGCATACATCACCATGCCTGGTATAATAGGATAATAGATTTTAAAAGTTCTCATACACGATAAATGTTAAGTTGTGACAAAATGCATATATGTTAATTATCCCATTTTAACCCAGTCTAATCAATAGATTGATAGATATTTTTTAAATATTTTACACACAATACATATATGTAATTCTTGTCTTTTTCTTTCTTTTTTGCAGTATTGGGTGTTGAACCCAGGACCTTCACACTGAGCTCCAGTCTCAGTCCTTTTTTTTATTTTTTATTTTGAGGCAGGGTCTTGCTAAACACCAAGATGTCAAATTGGGCTCCAACCTATGATCTTCTTGCCTCAGCCTCCCAGAGTGCTGGGACTAAAGGCATGTGCCTCCACACCTAGCTAAACATTTTTTAATTAAAACAAAAAATAAGAAAGGTGTTCAAATCTCTGGGCTAAACTCTAAGCCTGAGCATGACTGCACATCCTATAATATATGGTACTTCAGTTTCCAAATCTCAATGGCCTATAGTAGGAGGTGAAAACTCTATTCCTGTGTCTCCTCTCTCTGCTCACACAAGGCCCAGTCCCTGAAGAGCTTCAAAGAGTAGAGACCACAATGAATTCTGCCCATTAAATAATGTGTCACCCAGGCAATGTGTTGCAATTGCGCGGCATATGGTGGGTGCCCTGCAAATCCCTTAAATGGAGTTGCCCCAGGGAAGCCAGTTCTGCTACACAGAATATCTATTATGCACCACTGTTTCTGTAGCAAAGTCTAATGTGTCTTGTATGCCACCCTTATTGTGCACAGCTGTCATTTCCATGGGCCAGAACCAGGTCTACCAAATGCTACCATATCCCAGTGTGCAGTGAGGTCCCCAGCTGAGCTCGGCTTCTCTTGTTTTATCTCGTTTTCCATTTTTCTCTGGCCAAGAAATACAAAAGCTGCACTGACTGTGCTGCATTACCTTACACAGCAGTGATAAAATCACTACCATCTTTAACTTCAGGTTCACCTTCTTTTAAGACTTGGCAGGGGACCACAGGCAAGCTGGAGAAAGAGATACCATGCAGAACTCAGAAGCTTAGGGTTGGGTTTTCATGCTATCCTCTTCTTCCCATTGGAGTGAGTTCTCCAGTAGGATGGCCTTTATACAGGTAAACATGTTAGAAGCCCTTCCCTTTACCCTACCTGTCCAGTTTGGTGACCTTGTCTAGACTTTTCTGAAGCCGAGGAGGAAACACAGCTTAGATTCTATGTGGGATCTCCAGCTATCTTTACAATTGAGTTTAAGACTACATTTTTGTTTATCTTTGTGGGAAATCGCAGTCAACATGAGTAAAGCAGTTTTGAGGGGTGGGCAACTGCACAGGATAGCCATTATTGAGAATATGGTCATATCCAGTTTTATCCCAAGTGAACAGATAGCTGAAGATATAAAATAGAACCACACCACAATTCTACTCTCACTCCCTTGCCTCATCCAAGTCTACCAGTAAACATTTCTCTCAGTCTAACACAGCCTAAATGAGAAGATGAAGGAGTCAAGGAGGCAGCAGACATTCAGTGTAGGGAGAAAGACAAGTGCCAATGCAAAGTCTCGCCAAGAACAGGTCAATGATTTGTTTTGTGTCTACCTCAATCTTGTCCTTTCTTTTCCACAAGCTCACCATCAAACAGGCTGAGGAGTCTAATACAGGGCATCTCCAAGACAAGAATGTGTCACTGGATTCCCTTCACACAGGATGTTGTGGATTGAATGTTGCCTTTTTAAAAATATGGCCAGGGCTGGGACTTTAGCTTAGTGTTTTCACCACCTGCCTCACAAGCGCAAGGTCTCAAGTTCAATCCCTGGTACCAAAATAAATAAATAAATAAATAAAGATATGGCCAGTTCTGCGTACCTCTATGGTGACCTTATTTAGAAAAAGGACCTTTTTAGATATAATTAAGGTACTTTCAGTGGAATCTTTCTGATTAACCAGGTAGACCCTAAATCCAGTAACAAATGTCCCTGTAAGAGTCAAAAAGAAGACAGACGCACCAAGGGGCGGCCAAAATGGATTTACTTCAGGATCCTTAAGACTTCATGTTGTCCTCCCAACATACCTCAATGTCAGGCTTCTGCTCCAGATCCAAAGTCGTACATTTCTATGGTTTCAAGTCACCAGGTTTGTGGTCCTTTGTTATAACAGCCCTAGGAAACTAAAACAGAAGGTTCCCATAGGTAGAACCAACTTTGTCCTTACATTGCTTTGTCACATAACCCTGCTATTTTTAAATGTCTGGAAGAGTAAGGAGGAATAACTTCCACTTACGGAGTAATGACAACATACAGGCCCTGCATGAGGCACTGTCCATACATCAGTTCACTTAAAGCTTGTAATAACGACCATGGAAAGGGAAAGTCATCAGCCCCATTTTACAATTAAAAATCAGAGGCTGTGCCCAAATCAGACAGCAAGTAAATGTTTGAGTTAGGATCCTACTGTAGATTCTCAGTACTGTGTTCTTTCTCCTATGCCACAAGTACACAGAAATTATGATTTCTTTTTTGGAGGGTGCTGGGGATCAAACTCAGGACCTTGCACTTGTGAGGCAGTTGGCAGCACCCCTGAGCTAAATCCCCAGCCCAAAACTATGATTTTTAATCCTCTTCTGTTTTGTTTTGCTTTTTTTCTCATTGAGTTTATTGGTACTTTTTAGGTATACAGTACAGTTACTTTCATAATTGGGGTTTTGTACCTTTACATGTTTTGGTTCTCATTTTTCCCCTTACCCCTGCCCTCCCTTCACCTCCTCCCTTCCCTATTTACAAACACTTTATTTCCATGTTTTCATTTTCTCAGATTTTGTTTCTCGTCCCTTATTTTCTTTCCCATACCCTTCCCACTTCCCCTACTCCTAATTTTTTTTTAAAGCCAATTCCAGTATGACTCCATTTCTATAAGAAATTAGATTCTGTCTAGGGTAGAATAACTAGTTTGGGCAAGGGCAGAAATGATCCAAGACTTGTTATAGAAAATGGGGAGGAAATGTGTGAAACGTCATGGGTTCTGCCTGACAGCCTTCTAGGAGCCTCTAGGGTCCACACATTTCCCTTAAAGCACTCGCATGAACCATGGTGTGAGGAGAAACTGGCTTTCACAAGAACCGGCCTGTTTTGTTTAAACGGCCTCCTCTCAAATGGAGTCAAAATAGGTCCCAGTTCTTCCTTGGAAGCCATACAAAGTAAGTCCAAACCTCTTCCCTACAACAGCCTTTCAGGAATTGAAGATGGCAAACAGTGCAGAGACAGGGTAGAAACTTCACTTTTACCACTAACTAGGTTTGGCCTTTGATCTCCTCCTTACATGACACGATTTCCAACCCCTTTTCCGTGCAGTTCATCCTCCAGACTCACGTTGGTCCAACTTGGTGGACACCCACGCCTTGTGTCCCAGTTCCAACTGCGCTGTGGCCGAAGACAAGTCATTCTCTCCCTTTAACACACCCCTTCCCTCAAGCCTCTCACACCCAAGCTGCTCCAAAATGTCATCCCTCTCCCCAAGGGCAGTTCTGCCGAGAACCCCACAGATGCATTAACTCTCCAGAGTGTTTCACCGACCCACTCACCCACCTGCTCCGAAAGCTCCCGTTCTGAAGGGGCACTGTGATCCGTCAAGTTGGCTTCATGTTGCGCGGCCCACACAGAGCAGGGGAAAATGAATGACACTGACTGTTTCCACTACAGAAGCGACTCAACTAGACAGCAGCTTTCACAACAACAGGGAGGGAGCCCCTCACTTCGAGTCATCAGTGAGAAAAGCGAGGGAGAAATATTATGTATATGAAGGCCATTTTCCTACAGGCCATCGCAGGGCCCCTGTCCGACTGACCTAAGTAAAAACTAGGATTCTGCTCATCATCTGTCGCTTAATAAGCAGTTTGCAGACGCCGAAGACAGTGAGGAAAGAAATCCTTGATTTAAAATCTCACCCATCCCCCATAGTTAGCAGATGGGGACTCCCAAAGCCAACCCCATGGGAGAGGACACAGTGCAGGACAAAGGACAGGAGGGGCCCCAGGACATCCATCACGGCCCCAGCACCTCCACTTCATGTCCTGCCCTCCACACCCAGGGAAGGAAGACTCTTTCTCTCCCCACCGGTCCCACCCCTCACTCTTGTTCCAAGACAAAACCAGCTCACTCATGGGTCTTTTCTGCTTCAAGTACAGCCGCCAGGTCCCGCCTGTGTCCCATCTCATCCTCACAAGGAAAAGCCTCTCTCTACTCCTCATCCCCCATGTCCCTCACCCTCCACAGGTTTGCACACCCTTAAACACTTACAGACTGCCAGCCACCAGCACTGTTACATGGGAACAGCACAGAGTGACTCGGAATTTGGACCTTGGGGAGACTGCTTTAGAGCACTGGCTTTCCAGTTATCTTCCAGAGAGAACAAAGTATCTGTGGGCCAAAGGGAAGGCCCTCCAGTTTTTCTTTCCCATGTAAGAATTCTATGCAAGGTTTTAAAAAAATAATAATCTTTGTCTCAAAAAAATAAAGCAGAAAAGAAAAAGCAGTATCACCACAGGAAATAGGAAATACAGCAAAACCTTCTTCTCACTTACCCTATGACCAAGAGACACACGCACAAAGTGGGTGCCTTGCCTACCTTGCCATGAAGGAGAAAGAGCTGACAAAGGTCTCTGTTGGGGGCAGTAAAAAGCATCAGTGGGCAGAATGCTTCCTGCTTCTGCTTCTCCCTGTTCCTGAAGTGAGACAGCGTCGGGGAGCTCCGGATCCTCTGGCTCTGCCCTTCATCATTCAAATGTGAAGAGGCAACCACTGAGGTTAGTGGCTTACTTTAGCAACCAAGAAGCAAGTTTCTTATACAAACTTGTGTTGAGAGAATAACTTGTTTACACAAGTAATTTGTTAACCTATATCCAGTTCATTCCAGAACAGTTCGTGTAGTTTCTAAGAGGCATAAAACAAAGAAAAAATAACACTGAAGAGTAAAAAAAAAGAAAAAACAATGGATGTGATTGGCACGTTCCTTGTTTTAAAGTGAAGCTTCACAGATCTGCTTCATGCTGCCTCAAAACTCTGAAAATTTACATTCACTACATTTTTCTAGGCTGTTCTAAATTCTGAGTGATGAACAATTTCCTACTTAGAACTTGAAGTAACTAGAGAGACACCAATGAACACTTCCAGGCAAAAGGCTTCTTTGTGAATGAGTTTGTTTTTGGGGGGTCCTGCCTTGATTTCACTAAAATCTTTGTTTTCCCTAAAACCAAAGCCTTTCTGCTTATATTGGCTATAAATAAACAAACAAAAACAAACAGAACCAGGTTAGGACTCCGAGCAGACCCAGCAGAGGGCCCAAAGGGTCATAGGGTGGCTAGGTATTGGGGTTCATTGATCACTGTATGAAAATATCTCAGAGGACAAGGCCACAGGCTCACTTCTCACCATGAGCACCTGCAAAGGCATCGCTGGGAACTCGTTAGAAATGCAGACTCTCAGGCACCACCCCAGCCCCACTAAATCAGACCCTGCATTTTAACAAGATGCCAGTTAATATGAATGCACACTGAAGTTTGAGAAGCAGTACTCGACTGCACCCCGAACTCCTAGGTACAGATGTTTCAAATGCAGACACAGAAAAATTAAACAACACCTGGATCAAACGATTTCCATCAACGAGAGAGGTTGGGGGTGCAATTCTGTTTTTGCTTATTTCTAGAGGCTTTTGTTGCTGTCCTCATTGATCTTCCATGAAAATATCAAATGAATTAAGTGAGGAAAAGGGGCTTTTGGAGCCATTTGTTTAGTCATCCTTTGGCACACACTGACAAAGATATTCACCCCCAGCGGGGGCATAATTGTTCTCAAGAAGTGACTTTGTTGTAGAGAAAACTTTTGTTTCCAGAGGCACAGGCTACACAGCACGGAATGAAATAGAAATATGGCGATTATCCAGTTCATTTACTTGCTGTACACAGCCAGACAAACCAATCCAGGTAGCACAGGCCATAAAAAAAAAAAACAAAAAACAAAAAAAACATTCCAAGGTGCTGGAATTCTCCAGGCTCACGGCGAACATTGTTCAAATGAACTGGATCACGGCCAGCCCTATATTTCATTATGCGCTTGAAGCACAGTGCAAAGGGACCCAGCACCAGGTGTGAGGAGGGGATGGGCAGGTGCAGGTGACCCCTGGACCCAGACATCTGACAAGGGATGATATGAGGCTTTGGCAGAGCTCAGCTGCACTGTCTGCAAAGTGGTTATCACACGGAAGGCAGGCAGCCTGCCAAAATACAGACACGGGGACCAACCAAAGGATAACTGCTATAAATTCCATACAGGGAAAGACAGAGATGTCAGCAGAACACTGCCTGGCTGCACAGCAGCTCACACCAGACCACAGGGAGGAGTCCAACAGGAAAGGGAAGATTTTTTTTTTTTAATTTGAAAAGGCCAAATTTGTTCCAATAAGGTATGGCAGGCCAGCTGGAAGACATGTCAGTCAAGTATGAGGCTCTCTGCTCAGAGGTATTTCTGTCACTTGGACATGACAGCTTCTCAAAACTAAATTTAAGGGGAAATTACAGCTAGATTTCCTCCAGGCATGGAATATGTTCTGATAGCAATTGAGGAGCCAGTAGGTTAAATCGTTTGTGTGCAGCCCTCCCTGAGCGTCAGGTCCATGTCCTGGTGCCTTGGGGATAGGAGTGGACAAGGGATCCTTTTGGACTTCAGGATTCCCAGCAGTTCCTGAAACTGTATAAAAATGTTTGCATGCGTTTAAATAGTTTTTTCCAGGAAGAGAAACCGTAGCTTTTATCAGATTCACAAACTGATCCAAGATCCCCAAAAGGTGACAGTTCCAGTTAGCTGAAAGAGCTATGAAGGATAAAGGAACGAGTATCTCTCAAACGACCGCCGCCAGACCCTATATTTTGTGGTAACATTTTAGTTTGCCTAAAAACACTAGTGGTATCATCCTCACTTTACACTTATGAAAAAGCAAGGCTAAAAGTGAACACAGAGCCCTCCTAGGTAAATGCATGCAGGAACTGTAAGACCTAGCATGTAAACTAGACCCAACTAGACTGGAAATCCACCCTTTGTCTCGGATACTGGGGCACTTCCTGGGAATGCTGCGTTGGGTTGCGGGGGTGGGCAGGTTGCAGAATTAGTGAAGGCAGACAGCAGAGAAAACCCAAGTGATATCGTAGCTGGCTCTTGAAGAATGGGTTGAGTCTGGGCAGCTAGTGGCAAGAGAAAGGGCATTCTAGGTTGAAGGGACGAGGCAAGAAAAGATGGAGCAGTGATATAAGATAAGATGCTAAAAGAGGACATCGCCCTCCTCCTATTGACTGAGAAGCTTCATACAGACTGGAGAGCTAAGCAACAGCCACAAGACTAAGTGCATCCCAGGATTAAACTTCTAGGCCATTTAGTCTTAAATTTCCTGTCACCCAATTCCAGTGCAACCAGAGAATAACCTCTCTTAGAAGAGACCCTGACATACAGCCCAGGAGTCACTTAATGCCCAATATCGATTCAAACAAGTGCATTTTGTTTATTTCTAATTCATCTCAATCAGAGAGAGCAGGTTGGGAGGAAGCCAAGACCTAACCCAGGGCTCAGGAGCCTGGATAGCCGCACAAGGCCTCCCCGGCAAGGAAAAGATCATCCGTTCAGTATGTGGAGTTTAATGCGTCTCCAGTCCCCAAGACTGCTCCTGTCTCAACACAAATAATATCCTGAGGCTAAAATATTCCATGTACACCACAATACATTTAATCAGGCTTTTAGGCCCACACTGACTACCCCAGCGAATCCTGCTGCCTTCTGAAATAGAAAAGCCACTCAGTAAAGGAAATGTAGGCCTAGAATCCCATGTAATTGAACTGTGGTTTTAAGTCCTATGATTCACAGATGGCAAAGACCCTTCCCTGTGCTCTGACTCACCCTCCTCACCAAAGGAGATACCCAGAGACCCATCACCACAGGCAGCACTCTTCAGCTCCTATGTTATTTGCAATAGTTCATTCTTTCGTCAAGAGCCATAGGGGAGGCTGAGGTAGAAAAAGCACAAGTTTAAGACCAACCTGGACAACTGAGCAACTGAGCATGACCCCGTCTCAAAGTAAAAAATAAAAGGCCAGGGATGCAGCTCTGTGTGAAGGCCGTGAGTTCAAACCCTAGCACCACCCAAATGAGAGCAGAAAGGAATGAGCCATTTACAGGTCATTAGTAGGGCTCAGGTAATAACTCCAAGGAAGCTTTTCATTGGTGCGCAAATGAATTAAATCTGTTTCTGGCCAACTCAGTTCAGGATTCCTGGGTGGGAATTTTTGAGATTTTTTGTTTCTGACAACCAAAGGGCACCAAAAAAAATTTCAAAGGCTCAAGACATTGCCCTTGTTTCAATAGATCATAAGTTCTTTGAGGGTAATGAGAGGCTGTTTGGCTGGTTGATTTAATATTTATTAAGTCTTTACCATCTTCACAGACCGTAGAGATAAATCTATCAATATACTTCATTACAAAAAAAAACTTATTTCTCTCTTTAGGAAGGACAAAGGAGCCTTCTCTTTGATACATCAAACTGATTAACTACTTGAAAGAGCTGTTCCTGTCATAGAAAGAAAACACGAGTAAAAAATATTGCACTCGTCCATAAAACTGGAAGAAGAGACTGCCCTCCGTGAAGTAACAAGGTGGTAAGCAACAGAGGAGCTGTAAGAGAAGGGGCCGGAATTCATCACCCCGAAAATATTCCCCTTTCAATGTACACTACATCAAAAATTATGTCTAACGATGAGACTTCATACTTAGTATTTCTCAAACCATGGTTTTGACTGGAATGGATGTGCTGCATAAGGAAATCTAAAAATAAGAATTTTTAAACGCGCACCCAAAAAAAAGGGAGACAAATTTCTAACACAGTCACTGCCGAGACCGGCAAATCAGTGCTTATACATAAATGCATTCCTGGTGCCCAGCAGTGAGTCACCTGGAAGCACTGTCCTCAGGCAGGGGGAGATGACAGGAGGAAGGGGCTGCAACGCATTACCTCGGAAACAGCTGCCAAGGACCATCGCTGAAAAGCACCAAGGACTTCCGCCCAGACCACTGGTGCTCAGCTTTGGCAGCTTGTTAGCCATGCAGCAGGGGTGCTGTTTTGTAAACACATCTAATTTGGTTTTAAATTTTAATCCATAAAGTCATTACTAAAGGACTCCAGGCTGCTGAAATGATGAACCAACCGCTTCCAAAGCAGACAGGGAGGCGCACTGGAGCCAGTTGGGGTTCCCTCTGCTCAGCTCCCATCTTTGCCTCCCATATCCCTTCCTCCTCCTCACCAAGGTGATGACTTTTTCATTTCCTCATACGTGTTCTTGCACTTATGCCAAAGATTTTTTGTGAACTTCTTTGCCTTTTGCTGACTCTATATTCCAATCACTGCCTCCTCCATCCTTCAATTTAATCTATTTCTATATAAACTTTGTTCTTTAGCATTGGTCAAGTGGAGGGAGGGGTCTTACGAGTCCCTGTCAAACCCCAGAATTTTTTTTTTTTTTGAGACAATGCCCAGGATGGAATCAAACTTGAAATCCTCCTGCCTCAGCCTCCTAGCACAGGGAGAAAGGGGGCTCCTGTCAGGAAACACGACTGCCTGACAAATGGACTGACCAACTGGCTGGGCTAGAAGCATCTCATCTCTTGCTCTCCTCCAGCTATTGATTCTCATAGGTGATTAAAAAGAAGAGGAGAGACTCTTTTTTTTTTTCCAAAGGAGAAAACAAAACAAAACAAAAATCTCTCAAATCATGTCATACCTTATAAAAATTGGTTTATTTAACAAACCATGTAGCAGATCCAGTTCAAAGGGAATTGCAAAGTTTACCACTCGTCTGCTCCCCACAACAACCCAATGGAGGGTATTAATGATCTTTCCCACTCCCCAGCACAGAGAAGTCAGGTACCTCGCTCAGAGCCACACAACTGGTAAGTGGCTGTCACGATGTCCGTGCAGATGCTATCACGTAGCTCCAGAGCCCACGCTTTTAGTCACTGCCCAGGAGCTTCCGGTTTGATTGATTACATCTCTGTGTAATAGAGAGGGAAATTTGCATTCATCTTTGTATGCATTCTGTCACTATTAAAGCCAATGGCTTTTTTTTTTTTCTGTACCAGGAAAAACAAATGACTAATTTACCAGTAAATTGATTATTACCTTCTCTACGCTATTGGGCATTTATCCTGTTTTATTTACCCTATGTAAAAATCCGGTTTTGCACAAGATTCATGTTTCTGGTCCCCCACTATCGATACATGTGCTACATGTGTTCTGCACATGTACGACAGATATTCCAGACCCACCTCACAGGCCTCCTCTACCCATTCCCTTAGCTGGTCCACATGCACAGTCACTTCCGGTTCCCTTTGCAAAAGCAGCTGTTTCTTTTCCCCTGGTGCTGGGTATCCCACCCAGGGCCTTGCGCATGCTGGGCAAGTGCTCTGCAGCGGAGCTACATCCCACCTCCCAGAAAGCATTACAGAATCATTCTCAGGGACTCTCCGTACTTCTCAGTGAGGTTTCATATAACATCCCCCAGCCCAACCCAAGCCAAGGGCATAGTGCCCTGCAGCGTCCAGCACAGGGAATGAGCAGCTTCCATAGAAAAGAGCTTGAGTTCATCTAGAAAATTTCCCTGTTCAGTGCTACTTTGCGATTTTCTGCCTTCCACTGATCCCAAGTTAAAGTGAGCAAAATTCACCCTGGGTAAGGTGGGAAAGCCAGAAGAGAGATTCCATTCTTTTCTGTGGACATATTCTTGTTCTGCAGGGCTGGTGTTTTTAGTGAACTTTCTTCCAAAGTATGCTTCACTTTAGTATTTTAAAACCCAAAGGCCCCAGGATTTTTCCTCTTGCAAAAATGGATGGTTCTGCTTTTCATTTAAGGTGCAGTTTAGAAAGAAGCAGCCTGTGAAACCAATTAACTAATTGGAAATCACTTAATGACTGTGGCAGCATTTTGGATTTCTGGCGTTGGTTCACAGCAGTCAAGAGAAATTGCTTTCCAATATTATGATAAGGTAAGCTGTGGAGGTCTCACGGGGGGCGGTGGAGGCTGCTGGGAGAAACAATCAGCTCTAATATGCCCACCAAAATAATGGAGACATTATAACGTGGAGCTCAGTGATTGTAAAGTAAGCACAACATAAAAATCCAAAGATGTGTGGCGATCTGCTGAGAATAAATGTGCAGCCATAGTTCCTTGCAATGATTTTTGAGAGCTCCCAATCTTTGCATAGACATTATGCTGTTGAAATTGCTCTCACAGAGCGAGGCACCCATGTTTGGAAAGAGAGGTGACATGAGGAGAAGGGAAAAATAATAGAGCAAATGCTCATTCTAGAATAATTGTCCAATTAATTGTTTTTGTATGAATACAGTCATTGTTCACATTAGGGAAATAATCTAGCTAATTGCTCAAGAGTTAACAGAGCCAGGAAAAATAAATTACCCCAAACACAATGTTTTATCCATTTGCCATTTGTTTGCTTCAAGGTAGTGATCCTCTTTACATGTTTCTAAAGAGTATATCTCACTAGGGCCAAAATCATCATGTAGAGAACAATATCAGCAATCTCTAGTTTATCTAAATCCTTTTACTTTGCTTTCAAAGAGAAGCACAGGGATATGTATAGGGCAAAGGTAATGTAAAATTGCTTTGAGGTGGGCAGTTGACTCTTACTTGGCAATTTCTCTCTCTTTGCCTTAGTTTATCCAGCTTTAAAATGGCCTGTTTGAAGAAACAGGTACAGTATTCAAATGTTGGTTGGATTTTGCAAACATAAAGCTGGGGCACTACAAGATGCTTTCAGCATTCATGAAAGGTCACCTTTTCTTCTCCGTTGGTGCACTCACTGCAGGTAACAAAGACTGTTCTGGAGATGGTTGCTATTGTTTTCCAACATGAAAGAAATTCTATATACGCACTTGTCATTCCTCAGCCTGCAATTTAGGGCTTCCCTGGACCCCAGCTTTATTAAATCAGAAATAATGAGCAAATCAGATGCCTCCACTGAGTGCTGCCTTCAATGCTGGCTTCGTACCCAGCCATTACCCAAAGGACCGAAGGACAGAAGGCCTCTCCTTCCCAGGTAGCAGCATAAATAAAGATGAGTACCAGTGACGTACGAGTAAATCACGATGCCAAGCACGAGTCCACCCAGACGTGGAGCCACATTCGCCCTTTCTTCTCACCTGCCTCAGATACCAGATGCTCATTCAGGGCGGCCTCTGCTTTGTAAAGCCCCAAAAGTCCTTCACAGTTAAAAATATCCAGAGCAAAAAGTACTACAATAAAACCATAAACTTATGATTCTTCCTTTAAAACAATGCTTTGTTCTGAGCTGGGGAGAATGAGGTATGTTTAAATCATTTCCTTTGTTGGGCTGACTTTCTCATCTGCATCCCAGAAAGTGACATCTTACTAAAATCAAGATTATATCAGGACAGCCCAGTGTGGTGTGCACGCCTGTAATCTCAGCACTCAGGAGGCTGAGGCAGGAGGATCACTGTGAGTTCGAGACCAGCCTGAACTACATAGTGAGACCCAGTCTCAAAACAAAAAACAAAACAAAAAGATTATATTGGAAACTAGGCTTGTTGTCAATAAAATGATTTTAATCACCAATAAAAAGAATCAATAGGCAAAACAGACCACTGAACCTAATTAGATAGTGAGGAGGGCTTCCCCGGTGAGTTTGGACTAACCTGTGAAATAAGAAGGAAATATTTTAGTCTTCTTAATAAAAGAAAAACCCCCAACATCGCAAAGGAGAAAATGCTTCAAGTTAATCTTTCAGGTTGATTTGTCCGGGATGCCACACCTGAAGGAAACCATATGACTCCATGGATTCCACTCTGGAGACTACTTGCTCTGTGTGGACCCCGGCACACTGGCCCCAAGGCGAGGCCACACAGGCTGAATGCCACCTCCATAGAAACATTTGCAAAGCTGTGCACTCTGAAGCTTAAATGTCCCTGCTTAACAAACAGGGAGCAATTTAGTCCATTGTGCAAAGACAAGACCAAGGCCAAAGTCTAACAATAGCTCCCCTCTCTCCAAACCCTTGATTAGTAAATGTTATTACGAAAAAGGAAATATACTGTTATCTAGATTGTTACTTCCTCCCTCTGCTGTCCTCTGTGGCTTTGCCTATAAGCTCACAGTTTGCAGTTAAATTGGACAATTACCAAGCGAGAAGTGCATAATTAATGAACAGTCACCGTATATGTTTGGGAAACTGTGACCCAATCATTGAACAGATAGCTGAACCACTAAAATAAATGACTTGTTCCACTCGTTACCTGATCAGCATTTGTTTAGAAGTTCCTTGGTGCCCTATCAAAATTCTAATCAGTTCTATTTAAATTACATTTTTTGCACTGCATTGTTATAAATGCTAATTTATGCCTAGAATGGAACAGCTTTATTTCTTACCTCCTGAAGAAACGGATGAATAAAAACATACTTCTACAGGGCATAGAAGATTATCAAGGGTTCAATGACTATTGGATTTTGCACTTGCCAAAACACATCCTGAAACTCTGAGCTGAAGCTTTAGGAGACAGCAAGGATGCTCAAATCCTCCCACAACAAAGCTGTCCCCATAAGGAGGCAGACATTGTCACAGCAGCATCTGTGACCACCACCATGGCTGTCTGTCACTGGGGACAGGGGCAGGAAAAGAAGGAAAAATTCTTACTGCTTGGTGCAAAAAATCTGAAAGGCAGATGGCTATTTCAGAATCTCTAGGCAACTTTCCTGCACAGAGGAGAATTTCCCCAAACCTGACATCCCATTTGTTTTTGCTGATGGAGTCCATCCCCAGCGGCCTGCAGGAGGTGGTAGGCATTGCATGGTAACACCACATCTTTTTTACTGCTAGTTTGGTCTCCAAACCTAGCACCCTTGCTCTAAACAACTAGAGCAGCCCCACCGAGGGAAGACAGAGCACCGAGGCCAGGCCATTTGCAGTCCAGCAGTGGCCCTGACAGTTCCTGAATCACTTGGGACCCAAAGACAGAGAAGGCCCCCGGTGGTGTTTAGAAATCTCCTACCGCCACCACAAAAGTCCCACGAAGTGACACTCCCCGCCCCTCGGGACTCAGGGTGCCGCCATCCAGCATGGAGTGGGAGGCAGCGCACTCGCAATTCATTGCTAGAAATTTTTTATAAATTGAGGAATTACCTTGAGAGGATTGAATTTTCAAGTGCAAGTCGCAGCAGCTGGGAGGCTGGGGCTACCTCCATCGGCTTCCCCAGCCGTCTCCAGGGAGAGGGGCTGGGGAGCCAAGGCCGGATCGAGCTGGCTTTAGGGCTGCGTGGCCAGAGGGGTAGAAAACACAGGTTCACACGGGCTTTTAACCTCGATTAAGCAGTGCGATGTGGCCAAGGCTTAAAACAAGGCTGGCACATTTTCTCACTTATTATCACCTTGATAACCTGTTCTTGTAGCTGGGAAGAAGGATCGTGAAGAGGGGGGCCAGACGGGGGCACAGGGAGGAAGCGGCAGCCAGAGCACTGCGCAGAAGGACAAGCTGCCCTTTGCCTGTTTTCTGAATGCAGGTGGGAAGAGAGGAAGGACGTTTGCTCTCTAAATATTTCTACTTTTAAATAGAAACTGTTTTCCAGACTGCATGGCTAATCAATGCCTGGGAAAGGAAAGGAAAGAATAGTTTTCATTTGTTTTCTGGGAAATTCATTCAGCAGAGTTTTAAATTTCCCTACGAGATTCCTAAGCAATGGTGGTGTTTGTACAAGATCAAAGGGTGAGGAAGAGGGCGTAGAGGTGGGAGAAGCTAGGGAGGGTCTAAGAACAGCTGCAGGCAGGTCATCATGGAGAAGGAGATCACCTCTGTCCTTGCAGCACAAAGTGGGTGCAAGGCTCCTGCCCATAGAAGTGATCCACAGACAAAAAGCAACACAGGCTTCCCTCCGCACAGGACCCCTTGCAGCACAGCTGAAACAATCCTGAAAGAAGTCTTAAGAGAAACTACCTTTTTCTGTGCTGTTTCTCCATCTTGTTTAAAC